ACATATGCATTGAAGATTCGCGATTTTGCGCTATCATGGTGCCTGTTAGAATGTTGAAGAGCTCGCACTTGCGCACTAGTGAGGTCCCAGGGAGATGCTGATGCAAGGGTGGACCAGACTGCTATAGTGACAGGGCGGGAAAACAGGGAGCAGGGACCAATCAAATCAGGCTTTGTATACAGCCAACAGCCAGCCACAATACTGCCCCATTGTACAGTACAGCATAGAAAATGTCGACCAGTCAAACCCCTATCATCCCTATCATGGCACCAGCCAAAAGAAAGAAGTATGATGCAAATTTTAAACTAAAAGTTATAAACTTTGCTAAGGAAAATAATAATTGTGCTGCTGCAAGACAATATGGAGTAACAGAAAAGATGGTTCGGGACTGGAAATCAAATGAGAAAGCATTAAAGAGTATGCCAAGGGGTAAGTGTGCATTAAGAAGAGGCACCCCACACTGGCCAGAACTCGAAAAACATGTAGCAGACATGGTGGCTCAACATCGCCAAAACGGTTATGTGGTGACACGAAATACAATACGCTTGTTTGCACTTCAGTGGGCCAAATCTAACCCAGATCACAGCAACAATTTTAAGGCCACTATATCCTGGTGCAGTAGATTCATGGCAAGGCATGATCTGGTACTAAGGCAAAAGACAAAAATTGCCCAAAAATTACCCTCAGATCTGGATAACAAAGTGGGTAGTTTCCATCGATACGTAATACAACAGCGCACTAAACATGGCTATGCGTTAAGTCATATTGGAAATATGGATGAAACTCCAATGAATTTTGATATGATTGGAAATAAAACTATCCATCAAAAAGGTGAAAAAACTATTTTGATAAAAACAACAGGACATGAGAAGTCAAGTTTTACAGTGGTACTCGCATGTACAGCTGATGGCAACAAACTGAAACCTATGATTATTTTTAAAAGGAAAACAATGCCAAAACTCAAGTTCCCTGCTGGTTGTTTTGTGCATGTGCATGAAAAAGGTTGGATGGATGAGGAGGGTGTGAAGCTATGGCTGGATAATGTATGGAGCAGACGACCAGGTGGTCTACTTCAAAAACGTAGTCTACTTGTGTGGGATATGTTCCGGGCTCATTTAACTCCCAGCACCAAGGAAAGGCTTGCGAGAATAAAAACAGATGCAGCAGTTATTCCTGCAGGATTGACATCATTGGTACAGCCCCTGGATGTGTGCCTAAACAAGCCGTTTAAAGATCGCATTCGAGAACAGTGGAATGAATGGATGGTTAGCGGCGAAAAGTCATACACAAAAGGAGGAAACATGCGTGCTCCACAGTTGGATGTTTTGTGCCAATTTGTCATAAAAGCCTGGAATGATATTGATGCGCAAACGGTAATCAAGTCTTTCAAGAAGTGTGGCATATCAAATTCATTAGATGGTATGGAGGACGAGTACTTGTGGCAAGATGAAGAGGAAGCTGAAGCTGAGGCCACATCATCTGACGCAGAATTGGTAGATCCATACGATGACTGCCTTGCAACTGTATCCCAAGATGTCGTTGATGAACTTTTAATATCAGATGATGAAGAGGAGTTTGAAGGCTTTTAAGGTGAAACTGTCATGCCAGCAAACTTGCTAGGGACTTGCCTGGCACTTGCTCTCTCCCTCTATTTGTTATCTTACTTCTATCATTGACAGTCCCTCTAGGTTGTGGGCTGCTTGCCTGTGTTCCTGAGAAGCATCTACGGTACCAGTCTATAGAGTGTGTTTTCTTTAGTGAATTACCGGTATGTTTACCGGTAATAAGCTTGCACTGTTTTATGTATATGTTTGATTACATACAGCCTTGTGACAGTTTTCCTGCATGTCATAAGCATTTGAATATAAATTAAAATGTTAAAATCAAATCTGATATTGTTTTACCTTTTATTTGGTGTGTGGAAGGTGCGGAAGAGGGGGTAGTCTTATACGGCGAGTATATAACAAACTCTGTATTTTGAGTGGAAATGTTAGGGGGTCGTCTTATACGCCCAGTCGTCTTATACGCCGGCAAATACGGTATTTACTTATTTACTTACTTATTTATTTTTAATATGTTTTTATTGATTTCATGGAGAAGGAGAGCGGGAGAGAGAGAGAAACATCAATGATGAGAGAGATTATTGATCAGCTGCCTCCTGCATGGCCCCCACTGGGGATCAAGCTCGAAACCCAGGCATGTGCCCTGACCGGAAACCGAACCTTGACCTCCTGGTTCATAGGTTGACACTCAACCACTGAGCCATGCTGGTCGGGCATACAGTCACAATTTTAAATATTACAAACTGATTTACCAATTCTGCAGATGTAAAATTCTATTACATGAGTAAGAGATTTCAGTAAATGTATAGTTTCTAATACTCATTATAATAAATATTTTCATTGTCATTTAGGCACGTGAACGGGTGACGAATGGTCTTACTAAGCTATTAGAAACCAACATTCTAGTAGATGCAATGAAATTAGATCTTTCTGCTTTAGAACCTGTCCTTTTAACAAAATCACAAGATGTCGAAGCACTGATGGACAAATTGGCAGTGGATCAAGAAAATGCTGATCAGGTATGCTGAATAACCTGACTTGTGGGTGAGAAAGCTTTAATCACCAACTGATCACTTATGTACAATGACAAGTGATTGGATTTTTTATCGTCCATGTCGTTAAAATAATTAGCATTGATTTTAAGTTGTAAACAATCTCCCTTCAATAAAACAGTCTGATTCTCTCCCTGAAGTTAAGTGAACCTAAAGAGTGGCACCCAAAGAGTGGAACACGAAGAGAGAGTTGTAAGAAAAGTGCCGCCTATAAACCTAAAGCACCTATTCTTCTCCTAGAAGGAACTGTCTACTCTAACTTTTTCTCCATTATTCTATCAACATAGCACGAGATGCAGTAAGGAGAGGGTAAAATTCAGTGTAGCTAACCCTCTTTCCTCACCAGTCTAATCCAAAGGGGCAAATATGACATTATTATTGGCTTTGTTTGTAAGTATTGAAATTCAAATATTGAGACCACGTAAGCAGTCATATTTCAATGGTTAGGTCCGCAGCGTTGTGCGAGAAGATGAAGCAGTGGCCAAAGTCAAAGCCGAAGAAACCCAAGCAATAGCTGATGATGCTCAGAGAGACCTTGAAGAAGCCCTGCCCGCACTCGATGCCGCCAACAAAGCACTGGACTCCTTAGACAAAGCCGACATATCTGAAATCAGAGTTTTCACGAAGCCCCCCGACATGGTCATGACTGTTATGGAAGCAATTTCCATTCTCTTGAATGCCAAGTGAGTAACCCAGAATCATGTATTGCTGAAACACCTGGTGGAATTTCTTTGCAGTTTTTTTTCAGTGTTCATTCTCTTCTCTACCCGCTCATTGATTTGGGCAGTCATTCAGCAAGTTGATTCGACAAACATTTTCTTTTAACAAGGCACATACAGTCTGCTGCAAAGACAGACATGAGAATATTAATTTCTAGACATGAGAAAGTTGCATAGTATTAGGAGGGCTGAGATCAGAGTGCCCCTGGGGAGTGGGGTTTTTGAGAGATGGTTCTCAGGTGAAGAATGGGAGTGTAGAGAGAGCCCAGCGACCTTCGATGCTCATGGGGTGGGATGGGCTAGGCAGGGAGGCAGGGATTACATCATGAAAGGTCTCACATACTGTTTGTAGACATGTAGTTTTCAAACTTTCTTTAGTAATATAATCTTTTTATTTTTCAATAAAAATTATAAGAAACCTTTCCATGTAAAACCAATCAAAGCAGGGGAAGAGGAGTAGAGCACCCCCATGCCAGGCTTTCCACCAGACCCTCTGGCCAGCACCTCAGTGGGGCCTGGCAGCCCTGCAAAGCACAGATGGAGAGTCCTGGCCACAGGGCACTGAGAACCACTGAACATTTTCAACATAATCGGATTTTCATGTGAGAAAGTCCAATTTGGCAAAAGTTCACAGGAGGTAAGGTTGACTGAGAGACATAAAATCAGTTAGAAGGTGATTCGTAGTGTCCTGGCAGAAGGTTAAAAGGTGAGTGCCTGGGGCATTTTAATGATAAAACTTGTTTTTCTATGTTGCCTTACATTTCTAAAACTCTATGATTTTATGATTCGTTCCCTGCTAAAACTGGATAGTACGAAACATCAGCCAGCCAATTACCTGTCTGCCCATAAATTATGGTGTACAAAACCACCATTTAATGGGATTATAGAATTGAGATGAAAACTACCCACTTATTGGGATAATATCTTAATGTTCTCCAAAGAATGCATTTTTATGGTTCCCATGCTATTTTATTACAGTGCTACTAACTTACCACTTCTGTCTTTCAGGCCTGATTGGCCAACAGCAAAGCAACTTCTCGGTGACTCTAACTTTCTCAGAAGACTTTTAGAATATGATAAGGAAAACATAAAGCCTCAGATATTGGCAAAGCTTCAAAAGTATATTAACAATCCTGATTTTGTGCCTGAGAAAGTAGAGAAAGTATCCAAAGCATGTAAATCCATGTGCATGTGGGTGAGAGCCATGGACCTGTACTCTCGGGTGGTCAAAGAAGTTGAACCAAAGAGGCAGAAGCTCCGTGCCGCGCAGGTACGTTATCTGTGTTGTGATGTTTTTATAGAATCAAAGGCCATGGTCACCCATCATTCAAGCTCCCTTTCTCATGCCCCTGTGACCCTAAGCAATGTAGATAGTAACAGTGCTCTAGTTTACCACATGATCTCACTCATTCATGGATAATTGAGACGGGGATAGGGGAAGCTAGGGGACTGTCAAGGGCGGGGGAGAAAAAAGGACACATATGTAATACCCTTTGTAATACTTTAAGCAATAAAACAATAAAAAAAAGAAGAAGAAGAAAAAGAAAGTAACCTTGTGATGAAACCATGAAAATTGAAATCTATACCAGAGGCCCCTTAGGAAAAACAATTCATTGGCAATTAAGTTCACCAAATAGCACATATATGGAATTTGTTGTAATTGGTTTTGATTTTGCAGAAGGGATTGTATTCTTGTGGAATGAGGTTATTGAATAAAAAGTTGGTGTTATAAATTAAGAAAAAGAATAAAAAATTTTTTCCACAAAAAAAATTTTAAAAAAAGTTAGCATAGATTATTTGTTTCCACATGTAAAAAAACCTTTTTTATAGCTTTTATTTATAGCTTTTGAATTTTGTGACATACATAAAAAGGCCTTCCTTACTTTGAGACCATAGGGAATTTGTCCATGTTTTCTTCAACAATTTTTACATCTTGACCTCTTAGTTAATTTATTTTGTTATGATGAATGTGTTGGGTATCCAGCTTAATATTCTCCACATGAATTAAAGGAAAGCAGAGGGCTCTTGATTAAATTACATTCTTTCCAATGATTTCTAGAAGTTACCATTTCCAAACGTCCCATCCATAGGTTCAAGCAGAGGACTGGGAAAGACTTTTTCAGTAGGGGCCATGCTGGAGGCAGGAGTGAGCATGGTGCGTTCACATCAGGGAGCAAGACCAGAGAGACTGAGGATGTGAAGTAGGGGGAGATATAAGGTTGGCCCACCAGGGGGAGCCATGCGATGGAAGCCCCTTAATACCAGGCCAAGGCGATAAGGAACAGGGTTGTGGTCAGAGAGACCTGCAGCCTTTATGTTTTGGGAAGTCTGGCCTGGTAGAGGGTTGGAGAGGCAGAGCACAAGCAGGGGGCCTGAGCAGAGGCGGCCGTCAGAGGTCCATGCCAAGCCCAGCACCTGTTGGACATTTTTTTAGGGCTGGGTGGAGGCCGAGGACCAGGGGCACGTTTCCAGTCAGGACACTCGGTAGGGTTCCTGGAATTAGAGCAGGGCATCCCCAGGTGTTTCACTTTTGCTCCTGAGTCGACCCCTGAGAACCTAACATCAGGGGTGTCCTCCTGAGTTGTTTACGATGTGCGGGGCTGTGGGTGAGTTTCACATGTACCGTCTCATTTCATCCTCACCTGCTATTATCCCCATTTTATAGGTTAGGAAACTGAGGCCTAACAAAACCACCAACACACTCAGTTCACAGGTATTGACATTGGTAGAACTGGGCTGAGGAAGAATCTTTCTGGCCTCATAACTGGGGCTCTTAGCCACCTTGTAGCAATTTTTTTTTTCCAGAAATGACCTCTAAAATCAATCCTCTTCCAGCAAAAAGGAAAATGAATTCTTAGTATATTCACATTGCTTCTGGCATTTTTGCGGTCCCTTTTAGCTCTAGGATCAGATGTTCTATGTTTCCCTTTTCTAATTACTCCCACCCTTGACAGTGCCCTTTGAGGCTCTGAAATCCAGCTGAATCTGCAATCAGAATTGAGGTCCCAAGCAGGGCGGAGTGGTCATCTAGTGGAGCGGGTTACTGCAGGAACTGGGGCTGTAGCGGGTTACTGCAGGAACTGGGGCTGTAGAGCAGCGGTTGGCACACTTTTTCTATAAAGATTCAGGTAGCCCAGCCGGCGTGGCTGAGTGTCCACCAATGAACCAGGAGGCCACAGTTCAATTCCAGGTCAGGGCACATGCCCAGGCTGTGGGCTCCATCCCCAGTGTGGGGCATGCAGGAGGCAACCAAACAATGATGCTCGTCATTGATGTTTCTATCTCTCTCTCCCTCTCCCTTCCTCTCTGAAATCAATAAAAATATATTTTTTTAAAAAAAAGATTCAGATAGTAAGTGCTTCCAGCTTTGCTGGCTCTGGGTTCTCTGTTGCAGTTACTCGGCTCTGCCCTTGCAGCATCCCAACAGCCATCAGCACTGCACACATGACTGAGCATGGCTGTGCTCCAACATAACTTCATTTGCGGACACTGGGATTTGAATTTCATACAACCACCATGTGTTACGAAATATTGTTCTTTTGATTTTTCTCCCCAACCACTCACTCACAAACCATACAAAGGCAGGCAGCAGGCGGGCACTGGCTCACAGGCTATGGTGTGCGGTCCCTGCTCCTTGAGAACTAGTCAGGAAAGATCAGGTTTCACTATTGCAGGGATATTCCATGTGTTTAAAGTTGGTAATCCAGTGTAGTCACTGATTCACCCCAAATGCTTGGTAAGGCTGTTTCTCTTTTCCTTCTAGGATTCGTTTCACTGGGCTTTGTTTCTGTTCTGTTTTCATCTCTTGGCTTCTGTTCTTCTCTTCTGGGATTTTCTATTTGTTTCAACTTTGTATATTATCTCAGAAATGTTTGAGGACATGACAAAGGGAACATAAATCCTACTTTTTTAAAAATGAGTTATAAACGGGCAGATTTCACCTTCTTTGGGGGCCTATTCATGCAGTTACTTTATTTTATTAGGCTGAACTTGACGTTACTATGGCTACCCTGAAAGAAAAGCGAGCATTGCTTAAAAAAGTGGAAGATCAAATACAGGCCTTACAAGATGAATATGACAAGAGCGTGAGCGAGAAAGAAAGTCTGAGTAAGTAACTCGTAAAATGTATTTTGGTCAGGAAATGCCTGATTTTCAAAAGTAGACTTTTATTTGTTTGTTTGCTTGCTTGCCTTTTCCATTGATTTCTAGAAAGAGAAGAAGGCAGGTAAGAGGGGAAGAGAGAGAGAAACATGGACATGAGAGAGACACATTGATTGGTTCCCTCCGCATGCACCCCCACTGGCCTGGCGAACCTGCAACTGAGGTACATGCCCTCAACTGGGAATCCAACCACAGCCTTTCGGTCCTTGGGCCAACACTCTAACCACTTCGTCAAACAGGCCAGGGCAAAAATAAGAGTTTTAAGGCAGTCATATCTCAGCTTTCATTCAACATGCAGGACATAGTTCCATTAGACTAGTGCATTAAATGCCTCCTAACATAAAATGAGAAGAACTGGAATATTGTATAGATTCAACTCCTATATGTGAATATGGCTTGTTGGGGGCATGTTACATTGTAACATCAAGCAACACATGCATTTGATTCAGAAAATAAGTAGGTAGCACAGAGAGAGTGCTTAAATAGTGCTCATTCCTACTATAAACAGAAGCAGGCGAATAAACTTCTATTTTAGGAAAAGATTAAGTAACATAATCTGATTTTCTTAAAATGTTCCAGCAAGGAATATGGCCCTGACAAAAGCACGACTGATACGTGCTGGGAAGCTGACGGCTGCCTTAGGAGATGAGAAAGTTCGATGGGAAGAAACCATCAATAAATTTGATGAGGAGCTATCGAATATCATCGGGAACGTGTTCATAGCAGCAGCTTGCGTGGCCTATTATGGGGCCTTCACAGCCCAGTACCGGCAACTGGTGAGTACACGTGCCTTCTCTAAGGAGTGAGGAGAAGCAGCTGAAACTGGACTGGGAGAGGGAGCGGGGGGCAGGGGGAAGAGGTCCTTTTCCTGAGTTTAGATGGAGGCTGTCCACTCTGGACGTTCTCCATCCAGAAATTTATTTCTACCTCCACAGCCCTTCCCCTCTCCTGTCAGCCAGTGATGGTCTACCCCTAGCCTTTCCTTAACACATTCCTCCCCTCCTCTCCCTTCCGCACCCATTCCCTCCCCTCCCCTCCCCTTCCCTTCCCTTTCTTTTCCTGCCTTAGAAAGTTATTCATCACTTACTACATTCACATCACAAGAACTTGGGGGAAGGAAAAAGGGACGGGGAGTCCCCTACTATTATGATCAGAAGCGGCATCTAAAGTTAGCCTGAACTGGTGAGGCGGCTTCAAAGGACTAGGCAAAGCAAGGAGCAGGAATCTAAATGATCAGGAGTGATTTTCAAGCCATTTTTACGAAAGGCCTCCCTAAAACATTTCACCCTTGTCTTTGAGTTGCAAAACCTAGTTAGCACAGGACTGATATAGATTCCGCAGGAGCCCAGGGTGCCCCTCGGGACAGAGTGTTCTCTGTTGTGCCGGACTGTGCCCCTCACTGAAAGAGGTGACATGCCAACATCCCTTTTCCCGACCCACTAACTGCTAGTAGCTCCCAGGGTCATTGAGTTAACCCCAACTTCTCCGCGTGCTTCCAGACTCTCCCAAGAAGGGCAATACACCCCTGATTGCAGACTACTGTGACTCTGTCATTTACACATGAGGTCCAGCCCGGGTGGTGACATGTCCAAAGGACCCCGATCTCCTGATATTTAGTCCACTTCCTGTGTCCCATGCTCCTTGCCAGGATGCCTGCTGAGCCTGGCGGGAATTCCCCCCTAACCTGACCTTGTGTGTGTGTGTCCTCACTCACTGAGGGTCCCTGTGCTCTACAAGTAAGCTCTCCTGCCCCTGCAGCTGATAGAGTGTTGGACCCAGGACTGCCAGTCTCTGGAGATCCCCATCGATTCTTCCTTCAGTCTCATCAGCATTCTTGGGGATCCCTACGAAATTCGGCAGTGGAATGCGGATGGGCTGCCCCGGGACTTGATATCCACGGAGAATGGCATTCTGGTGACTCAAGGGAGACGATGGCCTTTGATGATTGACCCCCAAGATCAGGTGTGTAACAAGTGCTTCTTCCGGTAAAGAGCGGCCTGTTGACTCAGCTTAACATTGTGCTGCCCATGACCGGTGCTAAAGTGGATTTGAACCGACTACTGAGATCCTGGGATGGAGACCTAGAGGGAGTTTAGAATCCTTTAGCCCAAGTCCCTCATTCAGTGGATGTAGAAAAGGGAGGCGACCGTGGGCAGTGCATAACTTCATGTTGATTGTCATGGGATTTGTTTAGGGGATTGACCGTGACTCTTCTGTTTTCGTGTGAGGGCAGAAACTCATTCTGGTATATCCTTGTGCCTAAAAAATCTGAGGAGTCAAAGCGAAGGAAGGGTCGGATGAGTTTTAGGGCCAGCCTGCCTGGAATTTACAGAATCCCGCTACCTGACTCCTAACCCCCTGGCTCAGACTATACTCCACGGGGTTTGGAAAAGGAGCCGTTGTGAAGGCAGAGAGATGGGCTGGAACAGCACAATGTGTTTTTATTTGTGAGGGAGTGGTGGTGTTATTTTTTTATGTTATCATTTTTACCTCTCAAACCTGTTTCTTGATTGAACAAATTTTCTTAACTTGACTTTTAAGAGCTTTCACCTTCTAGCCATCCATAAAGCTCTACAGCAAATGTCCTGCTCTGTGCTTTCTCACCCAGGCCAACCGCTGGATCAGAAACAAGGAAGTGAAAAGTGGCTTAAAGGTCATTAAACTCACGGATAGTAATTTCTTACGCACGCTCGAAAATTCCATCCGGCTCGGTTTGCCTGTCTTACTGGAAGAGGTTTGCTTTTCACGCTCCTTTTCTCCTGCTAGTCCCCAACTGCCAGGTTATATCTGGCACCCTACGCGCGCACCATCTGCATCACGCCGAAGACACCAGTCAGGTCTACATTCAAGTTAGTCAAACTGATTGCTTTGCTTCTTGAACGATACACTCGCACAGAGGGAGCAAGCTGTTCACTGAGGAAAATTCCCTGTTTGCAGACAGGGTTCTGGTGGGATGGGCTCTGCTTTGGGACATGGCTGACTCTCAGGCCTCGTTGTGGCCCCCGGTGGTTAGCTGGCCCGAAAGTTCAATGTAGTGGTGCCATCGGGGACTGTCCGCACACACTAGTGATCTGAAGCCAGTAAATCAGTCCAGGGGGTAGAAACACCACCTTCTGCTTAGATGTAAGGTCAGGCTTAGAGTAAGTGATGTGATAAGAATGAACTTCTGTGTTCTTGTTTTTTAAGGATATTTGTTGAGCCCAAGTGCTCCATTTCTTCGGAATCGCTCCAAGAATGGAAGTTTTCGACATTGTTCACTCATTCAACACACATTATTTGGGAATCAATGGCAAACAGTGCAGGGCTGTGAGATAGGGCAGCGGCCTGGGGACTGAGTGGGGAGGATTGGAGTCCCCAGGCCTCAATAGCTTACAATCTAGCTGGGGGCAAAGACAGTAAAACAGAGAAAAGAGAGGCAATGAGAGAAGGGGAGGAAGAGAACTTGTGATAAGGGCTCTGCAGGGGCAAGTTCAGTGCTCACATAGCCATTAAGGGGAGGGGAGAAATAGGAAATGAAGCTTCCATGTGTGGCCTGTGGCCTTGACCAGCACAGGGAAGTGCTGTAATGGATCCCAGGTCCTCATTCAAACCCTGATGTTACAGGAGAGGGTAAGGTCTCTCCAAATCTGATGGGACACAGCTATGTTAGCCTCATCCTGGATTCCTAACCCCTGGTTTACTTCATAACACAGGAGGTCCTGAGGGAATTCCTCTCTCACAGCAGCAGCGGAAAGAGGACTTT